TTTGCTAATTTCACCTCATTTGGTAGCCGTTTACAAAGTTTTAAACCATCAGCTGCAGGTGTAGACACTGGTTTACACTCAATCAAACCAATTTTTGACAGTAGCTTGTCAATATACGCTTCCTGAGAAATTTCTAACCCATCCCCATTAAAGTTGAATTTCATCCCCAAAAACCAATAAAGTTTTGCTGTTTCGCTGATTTTGAATTGACTAGATATTTGTTGTTCAAATGATATAAACTTGTTAGCATCATTGCAAGCGTAAATTATATCATCCACCCAAATGCATACGTATTCCAAAACATCTTTTGAAATTCTCATGAAAAGACAGGGATCATTTTTTGACGCTGTAAAATCTATTGACTTAAGGAACATCTGTAAGGTATAGTACCAATTTCTTCCTGACTGCTTTAATCCATAAATAGATTTATTTAGCTTACAAACAAGTTGATTACCCCCACTGTCTTTCTGCTCAAAACCTTCAGGTTGTTGCAGGAAGACATTCTCTTCCAAATTAGCGTTTAGATAGGCTGTTTTTACGTCCCATTGTCTTACATCAAAACCCTTAGCTGTTGAAATTGCTAAAATAAGTCGTAATGTTGCCATTTTTACTGTAGGACAAAAGGTTTCCTTGAAATCAACGCCTTTGATTTGATTGTAGCCTTTAGCCACATATCTTGCCTTGTATCTTGAAATTCCCCCCTCATTATTGTATTTCAAAGTAAAATGCCACCTTCCCCCCAAAATAGTTTGATCCGTTTGTGGAACTAATTCCCAGACATTATTGTTGATCAGAGAATTATATTCATCCTGCATTGCTTTTTTCCAATTGGGGTCAGAAAGTGCATCGTTAGCATTTTTTGGCAAATTATCAACATAAAAAGTTGCATCAGCTAGCCAACACTCATCAAAAATTGTCTCATTTCTAAAAAATGAAATCTCAGGCGCATTTAATTGTTTGATCCGTTCGCTGCGGCGTAATTGATCATTTTCAAGGTTTCCGCCATTGACATTATCCGCAGAATTTTTCTCAGAAATCTCAGAATAGTTTTCAACGCTTATTTCCAATTCCCGTCCAGAATCATTTTCATCGTCATTTTTGAAAGGAAAAACTTTTTCATCAAAAGTAACATTTCTACTCTCCAAAAATTCAAAGTTTCCATCAAGCTCAGTTCCTACTATATAACATTTACTGTTCAGACTATATCCAAGCAGAAATCCTTTCACGGCCCTTGAATCAAGTTTTTTCATGTTTACTTTTTCGACAAACATATATGCAGCACAACCAAAAATTTTTACGTGTTTCAAATCAGGTTTGCTTTGGAAAAATTTTTCGTATGGGGTTACCCCAATTGCAGAATGATAAACTCGGTTTTTCAAGTAGAAAGCTGTTTTCAATGCAAAAGACCAAAATTTCTTTTCCATGCTGGCAGTTTGTAAAAGACATCTAGTTATTGCCATTACACTACCCCAAGTTCGCTCTATTTTACCATTTTCCTCTGGTGTATAAGGCGCAGAAAATTCAGTTCTTATGGCATTATCAAGACAAAACTGTTTAAACTTTCCAAATTTGAAATCTTTTGGATTATCACTAGCTATTGTTTTTGGTTTACCATAATCCGCTATGAACTGTTTGAGCATCTGAGTGCTATCACTTTTATTTTTCAATAAGTAAACCGCAGAAAATCTTGTGTAGGAATCAATAAAACCTATTGCGTACTTAAAATTGTCTACAGATATCGTATCAATTGGTCCCAAAATATCCGTATGAACAATTTTTAGTTTTTCTGTAGCTCTAGTCCCCCAAACTTTTGGTATCGCTTTCCGCTTAGCTTTTTCAGTTTGACAATCAACACAGTTATTATGTTTCTTTTGGCTAAATTTAACTCCCTCCGTTAGATTTTCTAATTTCTTGATGTCATCAAAATTATTATGACCAAGCCGTTTATGCCAAATTTCTATGTCCGAAACAACCATTGCAACATTTTCCACAGAGTGTTCATTTGCCAGTTCAATTTTCATTTTGAAAAGATCTCGTTGATTTTGAAGCAAAATTTCAGAACTATCTGGTAAAATTATTCTGGGACAAACATCATCAAACATTACATCAGCTTTATTTCTGTTAAGTTTAGATACAGAAACTAAATTTGCCGTATACGTAGGTACAAACAGAGTATCTTTCAGTTCTATAGTTATCAATCGACCATCACTTGTTTGAACATTAAACGTTACTTTTCCCTTTCCACAATTTTTGAATTACTTCCATTTGCACAGCCAACATTTCCATTAATATTCGTATCAAGTTCCGTAAAAAATTCGCGTGTTTTAAACATATGCGCAGAGCAACCGCTATCAATCAAGCAAAATTTGTCGGAATTTACGCCAAAATCATTGTCATTAGAATGAAAACTGAAAAAGTCGACAGTGTTTTCATTTTCTGAAGTAAAATGGCTTTTGTTTTGTTGATTTTTTGATGTAAACAGTTTTTGATGGCTGCTATTTGAATGGTTATTTTGGGTATTTTTCCTACAATCTCTAGCAAAATGTCCCATTTGATTGCAATTGTAGCATTTTATGTCTTTCTTGCAATCCTGTTTTCTATGACCTTGCTTTCCGCAACTGTAGCATTTAATAGTTTTATTACTAAAAAACGTTTCATTTGTTGAATTTTTCTGCAAAAAAGTCTTGCTTGTTTCGGCAAAATTTGACAAATCTCTTTTAATCTCGTCCAAGCTTTTTGCATCTTTCGAAAAATTCACCACAGTTGTAAAATTATCAAATTCTTTTGGTAGTCCTTTTAAAAGCATTGCAATCATCATTTTTTCAGAAATACCCTCTCCCGCTTCTTGTAGATTCATTTGCAAATTTTCCGATCTAAGTATGTAGTCCTTAATCGATTCGCTCGCCTCTAATTTCAAATTAGAAATTTCATTTAACATTCTTTGAACACGTGGTCGTTCCGTACTTTTAAAGTAGCTTTGCAGCCGATTCCATGCCGCTGAACCATCTGGTTTATCGCGTTTTATTAGCATTACAGACTTTCGATCAAGGCATTGTATTAATTCACACCACAATTGTTCTTTTCTATCATTAACATTAGTCTCATTTTCACTACTTCCTGGAACATCTGTTCCCTTCAACGTTTTCTTTAAATTCAAAAGAACTATACGAGCTTCAAATTGCTCAGCAAAATACTCCCAATCATTTTCATTTCCCGAAAAAGTCAATTTTTCCAATCTTGTTTGAATACTTCGTGCCATGGTTAAATGTCACTTCAAATTTCGAATTGTAAAACTTCTCTTTCAAAACTTCTCTTTTCTTTCAAAACTTCTATTTTCAAAGTTGTAATTCATACAACCAATTCTTTTCTTTCTCTTGAAATCCTATTCATACAAACCACCGTAGAATTTTACTCTCTGATGCTGTCAGGCGTAGAGTCTCAATTCTTCACGAAATCGCCCATAACCTCTTAGGGTCCATAAATTGAAATAGCAGCGAAAGATTTAATTGAATGAATTAGTTTCCCATTTTTAGTATCAAGAGATTAAAGATCATGACTTCAGAGATTATTCACATCGGTATGAACGAATTATTACTTCAGATGAAAGTCAATTGGTTTTAATTAGACAGTGTGCTAAATATATATAATGCACAGTTGAAACAAAGAAACTCTAGATCTACGCTTGGAATTCAGCCAAGCTAGTTGTTCTTGATAACACGCTGAAAACATTGTATTCTACTTAATCAAAAGTTATATCAGACATTAAAGGGTAGTCCTACCCTACCATTCAGGGCCTTGCACGAGTATTATTGCTTTGTAGTGGTCTCAATTTCTTATTGATAGTCTTGATTGATACGAGATGCCTTGTTGATCCGACTTTCGAAGAAAATGACGGAATATTTGTGCTGATCGGCGTGGTTGTTTTTTCTCCAGACAAAGTTCGAGAACATAACTAGCAATTTTTGACGGTACTTTTATACTATTTGAAAATTATTGTTGTCCTGAGCCTAAATTTAATAAGATATTTTACCTGCAATCATTTTTCGTAAAATTATGTGGGTTTGAAGATTGTCAAGGTGGCTAATTTGGGACAATTAGCGCGCGATATATTTCGAGCACTTAACGCGTTAGCGGAGATTAGAAATTGCTCCAAGTTGGATTGGGATATGCTTTTTGATCATTTATTACTTGGCTATATGCAAAATGGTGTCCCACTCTTTAACCCAACGATATTTAACCCCCTATGTTTACATCCCCTATATTATAAGCCCGTAACATGATAACCCCACAACAATTTGACCCCCATTTTAATGACGATAATTCGTTTCAAATTAAGTCCTTTTTAATAAGTACAGCAGTAGTCCAATTAAGTTTACTAATTGAGGCCTGAAAAGCTAGTCCTATTTCACTTGATGCCTCTTTTTTCGGAAAATTGGAAAAAATTTTATGCCGCCAGGGATTCGATCCTTTGATCTCTAGATTTTGAGACTAACGTTTTAACCAGTATACCAGAAAAAGGGGGTTACAAAAAGGGGTTAAGAAAAAGGGGGTTACAAAACACGGGGTGATAAGCTTGGGAACCATGCAAAATATATCACTTTGTACTTGCATATGAGGGATGGTTTTCAAATGAAAATCTAAAAAACTTCAAAAATGTTTTTTCTTTGTTTTTAATGTTTATCCAATTTTTTAAGAAAGGGAAGTCGGAACATTCAAGATTTCTCACTGATATGAGCAGTCTTGTTTTTCCGACTTTCGAAGAATTATTTTGTTCAGACCATTTCTCAAAATTTATGGATCTTCGTTGTCCCAGAAGGGAAGCGCTCAGCACTGGACTTTCCAGGCTTAAAGATTGCTGTGAAACGCTCGCAAATAGACTAACGTGACTTCTTTTTGCGTTGCAGTCTCAACTTTTATTCAAAAATAGCTTTTTACAAAAATTTCCGCTCTATATCAATTGATCATCAAATATATTGTATTTTGTATTGTGTTGTGTGCAGATGAGAATTGTGATGTGGGGTGGTTGGACATTCTGGATGGGAGTGTGACTCCAGCTGTGTTGCACTACAGGGCGTGTGGGTCCACCTTCCACCCCATATACAGACAGTGGTCTGCAGTCGTCATAAGGTCATCCATCTGCTCCATCCTATCCCCTCAATTAAACCTTCCATCACTTTCTCAATAACGGCAGAAAGCAATCTAAGTCGAAAACGTTCTACATTTAATCAGTTTATATCTCTTATCAACATTTTTCAAGTTTCTCGCTCTTTTGTCTAGCCTTATTTAAGCCTTTTGAGTTTTTGCACCTTCATGTTAGAAGCGGATTTGGGTAGCTGTGCGCATTAAAATCTTTGCACGATACTAAAAGTTTGACGAAAACTTACTGCGCGAAATATGCCTTCATTATTTTGCAGGTTTGTGCAATCAGGGGCTGCTAATCAGAAAGAAGGTAGCACTGTCCCCTCTTCCCGACTGCAGCTTCAGTGGCGAATCGTTAATTGGCCACCTGCCTCCAGACTCTCAGCCGAGCCATCAGGTTATTTGTTCAGTGCTTTCTGTTTCCAACTCGTTTTCTGTTTCCAACCACAGAGTGGCCCCATCTCGTTCTTCCTCTCAATAAAAACAGTATATTACTTGTAGGTAGATTTCTATTAAGCCCAAGCAATGCTCTACAAGACCAAATACTATGAAATAATATGAACGAAATGTTAGATTTGCATGTTGAAGCTGCAAACTTTCTGGTTTGTAGCTTTAGACACGAAATGATAGGTCCCACCCCTCAAAACTATTTAAAATAAATGTTATTTACCTTTTTCTGTGAATCTAATTTGTTGATTAGGGGGATGCGGAGTTAGTGAGTTCAGTTGTCGCCTGTCTCGCAGGTGTATCCCTCTGTCTGACACCTGCAACAGTGTTCCCGACTGCTCTGCTCCCGGCGCCATGCACGACTTCTCAGACGAGACCGAGATGTGCATGGAGACAGCATGTAAAAAAATATAAGATACTTACAAATATTAGATTTGCACTATTAAGTTAAAAAATCGGATTCATAATTTTCAAATTAGAGAAGTTAGCTATTTTTGTTTTAAGTAAATTTTAGTAAATTTTGATCGAAACATTTCGTTTTGAATATATTTAGCAAGGCAGATTTTTTCAGACTTGATTAGTTTTTTTTCAGACTTGCAGTCTGAATACTCCCCAAAAAGTGAGAGCAGTGGCCGCTCATCTGAAATATGGGATATGCTCGCTACCAGGGAGATATACATTCCCTTGATAGTCATCTCTGCCATGTGTTTGGCTGCAAGTGTGGCTGCTTTGATGTTCTGGCGTTCGGCTATTTTTGGGCACTCCGGATTCAGATCGCAATATGCGAGACTAAGCTCAATTTCATCAGCTTTACGTCAAAACCTCAAAAACAAAAGTAAGTCGTATACAAAAACTATTAGCTTATAAATGTTTTCAGACACGGAACAATTAGTTTTTTCTCGATAAACGTCGTACCTTTATTTTTTTTAAAAAAAAGGAATCGCGTATGACACTTTTTCAGATCGTAAGAGAATGTAAGAAATAGATTCTAACATATGTGTTAAAAACCCCGCTTCTTTCACGGTCGAAGCTGGTCTCTACTTAAATTTATTAGTGGAACCTGATCTAAACTACATTTTATGATTGGATAAATTAGATATTTTACCACTGTAAAGTATTTAATATTAACCAATCATGATCCATCTAACTAACAACCCACTTATTTGTAAGTGCTGAAATTACTTGTAATTTCAGCACCAGAGAGATTTGAGTTTAACTTAGAAATTAGTTGCCTCTCCAAGAGAACTTCAGCAGCCGCCATAAACCAGTATACCCTAGATCTATTGAGCCTAGCAGAGACTAGTTAAACAACCTGAGACTAGATAGTATAAGAGTAGGATTAGGATCGGTATTAGACTAAGAAGTTGCACGAATCTATCCGGCCGAAAATAAGATAGCGTGACGAGCAGACGGTGTACCCTATCCGAAATTACTCTATGAGTTAACCACTTCGGTCCTAACTCATCTGGTGCGACCATAAGTCTCGAACAAGACCTTAATAGCTTAGAATTAACCAAAAATAGATTAGAATTTAGACAAAACATTTTCAAAATGTTATACGACGATAATTTAATCGAAATGTCTCTACGACTCAATAGATCAGAGCCAATATTCCGAACGATAATAGAACTACCCGGAATTGGAAGAAGACCTCGAACCAGAGACGACATACGACAAAGTAGAAACTTACCATATAGTTATATGATAGTACGGCAAAAGCCAACACAAACTTTTATATTTAGAATTTTATTAGCAATGAATGTAGATTTTCATTTACAAACATAAAATCTTGAAGTCAATCTTCATGATCATTTCAGGCGCTAAACAAAATTATTAATATACAATAACGATTGATAAAAAGATCTCAGATCGTTTTCCTAAATTCTGCAGTATTATATAAAACATGTTTGGAAAATATTTATTGAAAATCAAAACAAAAATTAGTAACATGACAATAAATTGTTAGTAATCATAAATATCATCTGTAGTCCCAGCTTCATCACCTAAACATAACAGCAATCATAAGCTCACTTATATCATTAAAAAACTAAAATTTTTAAACAATTTAAACAATTTTAAACTTAAATTCACTTAATTTTAAAATCAGATCATCAAGGCCTATCCTTGGATCTAATTTAATTTTCTATTTCATTAAATTTAAAACTTGATCATCATGGCCTATCCTTGGATCAAAAAGAACAATTTTGTTCTCCCCCACCCACTTAGCTAGTGTCTAACGACCTCAAACGTTGATTCACTATCCAACCCTTTCAAAAAACCCAAGACTAATAGAAATTTTTGAACAAAACTAATCATTCAAATTAGGATAAACAGTGAAGAACTTCGGTTATTCATCCTTCACTTGAACCCTCCTCTTACCGGACCCAGGATAAATCTTAGACTTAGTAAGTTTAAAATAGTATCTAACGAACTACTAGCGTTCTAATTATACCTGAACCTTGTGGATCGATTTACTATTCTCCAACCCTTGAACACAATCACTACCCCTAAGTAAGATTAAGTAAGTTAACACCTTAGCTTATACTAGCCACGAGAAAGTAAAAAATCATTCTTCGGAATCGATATACTTTTCTCTCCAACCCTGAACAAATAGACCCAGGTTAAGCTAACCAAAAAATCGTAAGGACTAACAGTCTAAGAAATAGAAATCATCTAACAACTTTTTGCATCCCTCATCCTAAACCTTATGCCATTTAAAAATCTAGGAAATAAACAAACAATTGTTTTACACAACTGTGAAATAGATAACAAAAAATACGACCTTGTAATCACACCTCATACACAAACAGTTGGATATATTAGAACAAAACGACAAACACTAAAAAGGAAAATAATAACCAAACAAAGACAAATCACACGAAAAAGATTTTCAAAAAATAGAAGCGCATTTTCAGAATCAGAAGCCAACAATTTAGACGAACTTTATAAATTAAAAGAATCTGTTGATAAAAATTGCCCCATTCACGATCAAATATATTTTTCCGACTCAGAAACAACTTCAAGTTCATCAAAAAGATGAAACAGAAGAATAAAAAAACAATATAAACACAAACCAGTACACTTGTATAATTGGAATCAACCAATTAGACACATCGATAATTACCTATTAACAGTCATTAAACGAAAAAATGAGCCAAACCCACACTCCAAGTGAAGATAGTCCAGATGACGACGATATCTACCCCTTCCTCGTAGATGCACCCGATAATAGAGGACAACACAATCTTTGCAAGAATTTACTCCTAAATTTGATTGAACCCGGATTCAGCCCATGTAAAGCAGAGTTCCCAGATGTAAAAATCAAAAGACAAATTATTGATAATTATCTGAAAGATATATGTAATTTAACACAACAATACGGAATCTACACCATAGAATTCAGTACACCAAACTCGAATCACCGCAAATATGTAATTCAAACAGACGATCTTGACTTAGAATTTTCAAAAGTATTCTTAAAATATATAAAAAGCATACAATATCATAACTCACAAAGAGCAAACTCCATATTCACTAATGAAGTTTTTGCAATAATATATAGTTATATTTCAAAATTAGAAAACGAAACCCCAATCCCAAATGTCTCACCGACAGAGACATCCAAACATATAAGGGTACGACATGAAATCACACTATTTTCAACTTTCCTACATATAATTAAAGAAAATTTCACTAAAGATGAAGTTTCACAACATACAAAACATGACTTACAAAAAATTTTGGCATGGTTTATAATAGATTATTTCACACATAATATAGATTTAATTTCGCAAGCAAGAAAAAATTTCAGACCTCAAAATTCAAACGATGATACAGCCATCACAGAACAGTCAGACTACGTTTGGGACCCCGAATGGTCTCATTATGCATTTATAGATATCCCACAATCAATCTCAAGTCAAGCAATAAGTACAATATCTTATATAAGAGATTATGTAAGAGTAATACCATTAACCATTGATGCAACACCATTAAACTACAATACATTTTTACCTGATACGCGAAATAACAGTTTAAATTCGACCGTCATACACAATGAAAACCTTAATGGAACTAGGAATCTTACTCAACAAGATATTCAAACACCATCACACTGCATCCAAACAACAACAACTACACAACAAAGTATTTCACCGATACGTCCAAATTTAACAACACCAAGAAATACAAACACTTCACTAGCACAAGTAACCTTACAATCAACCGTTAAACCTTCGGTTGCTCCAAAATATTCACAAATGGATTATCAAACATATAGACCCATGACAGTACCGTCAAAAACACGCAGAACGTTCACAAGAAACACTTTTGCGGAACACAATTAAAATTACGCACATTCATCAAAAACAAACTATCCCCCACGAAAAAATAATAATAATCAGATAAGATCTCGACATTGGGATAACCCAATGACAACAACCAACTCAATAAATTTTCAAATTAATTCACATCCTCCACAGGATCGTAGTGAAAATTACCCATTCTTTCAACAAAATAAGAATAAAAAGAAAGCAAGCACCTCATCATACGGATTATCCATCCTCTGATGATGATTATTTACAACCAGGTATATTTGCACCATATACTCAAGAATATCGTGGACAAGGAGTGCAAAAACCACATACATATCATAGAATTTTTTCTCCACATCCAACAGATACACAAAATCAACAACCAATACAAATGCAAAACCCAATTAATACACAATCTTTTCAACCAATTCAGCCACAAAACCCAATAATTACACACTCGTATCAACCAACACAAATGCAAAATGAAATACCACTCCCATATTACCTTCAAAAACACGAAATAACAAAAAATCAACTCTCAAACTTTTCACAAATGCCAAATGCCGCAGAATCCCTACAAATGACAATGAATCCATACCTTATGGGTGGATCATCAATAACATCAAACAAACCATTAATGGTATTCACAGGAACAGACCCTGAATATTCTGTAGAAGATTATTTAAATGCAGTAACAGCAAATTTAATTTTAAATATAGGACCTGAACCAATTAATACACCACTACATCAAAATTGGATACATCGACGCACAGCGTTGATACAAACAACCTTAGATGGCGCAGCCCAAAAATGGTTTTCAGTATTGCCTATAGAAATAAAATCAAATTGGAAAAGATTTACACAAGAATTTTCAAAAATGTTTGACTCCGAGAGAAATAAACAACAACAAAGAGTTTTATGTAATGAAATTCGCAGATTACCAAATGAAACCATCAAAAAATTAGCAGTACGTATCGAAACACTAGTTCGAAAAGCATATTCATTAAATACACATGGCTATAAAAACACAAAAATGACAGAAATCTTAATGATGACCTTAACACCTCAATTAAGGAAAATAGCAATAAAAAAGAGAGCATCCCATCCTTCCTCAATTCGAGAGCCCGATCTAGATTTTCGAAAACTATTAGACAAACTAGAGCAAGCGGAAATCACAATGAAACTTGAAGAAACAGAAAATCGAAGTTACAATATGTTAATCGAATTGAAACAAACACCACAAATATCAACAACATACAGGAATCAGATACAGACCTCGTTGAAAAAATCACTGAAATACTGAATATTTATGAAAAACATCCAAACTTTAAAGGCAAACCATCTTTCAAAAAATGGTGTAATTATTGCCGACGATACGGACATAGTATTTCTGAATGTAGACAAAAACAACAGGATAACCAAAACAAGCCTCAAAAATATAAAGAACCAAATAAATCATTCTATCAATACATGAAGAAAGATCAAAATCTACCAAACAAAAATGTATACAGCAACAACAGTT